AAGACACTTGTTCATTAGATAATAATCATGTACATAGGGGACTGAGAAAACATGGAAAGCATAAACCATTCTATAAAAAAGATACATGTAAAATTCTATATTTGGCATCCAAAAGTTAACTGAATATGAGCTGGAGGAGACCTGAACTAATAGCAACTAATAATTTCAAAGTGGATTATAAAGTGAGTCACTAGTATGACACGGCCACAGACCTATATTCCCCATGCCTATCTCATTCCATCCTCCAAAATATTTTAAGTTGTGTCAATGGCTTATTGAACTCAAGGAAGAGAACGGTCTTATGGTAAAACAAAATGAAACTGGACTAGCAATCTGCAGACCTGAGATCCAGACCCATCTTTACTATCAATTAGTTCTGAGTCCTTGGGGATGTCACTTAACCTCACTATTAATTCATGGAGGCAGAAAGCAGTTGTTGGACTAGATGAGATCTAAGGTCTTTTTCAGAGTTAACATTCTTTGACACTGATAGTCTCACCTGTGCTTTGTACTGATCAGACCACATCTGACAAACCGTGAGCAGTTCTGAGCATCACTTCTTGTAAGAAAGATTAAAACTAAATATGAAGGCCCTGGCTGGAGTGGCTCAGGGGACTGAGCGCAGGCCTGCAAATCAAAGCATCAAGGGTTTGATTCCCAGTCAGGGCACATGCCTGGGTGGCAGGCCATGTCCCCAGTAGGGGGTGCACTAGAGGCAACCAAACATTAATGTTTCGCTCTCCCTCTTTCTCCCTCCTTTCCCCTCTCTCTAAAAATAAAATCTTTTAAAAAAGAACATGAAATGAGAAAGTTGGAAGTTATAGAAGGATCTGAAGAACATGTGATATGAGGAACAGTTTGAAAAAAAAAATGGATATTTAAGCCAGATGAGAAGTTTTAGAGAATGATTTAGGGGAAGATTTAGGGGAAGATTTAGAAGATTAGTTCCTCCCAAATATCTGAGAGCTGTGTAATATAAGGTGTAATATAAGGATCAGTCTTTGAGAGAGAGAATAAGTTACAGGGAGATTGATCTGACTCCATATAAAGAGAAAAAAAAATTAGAAGTGATCAGTACAAGAACCAATTTCTGAAGTGTGATCCCCTGACCCTAGAAGTGTTTGACAAAGCTGGATGAGGTCCTGTCAGGGAAGTTACACAGGACAATTTCTAAATTTGGTTATATCTCAGGGAACCCATGAAAAAGAAAGACTATTTAAGTTTTTCCCTAGCTTACAAAGAATTAAACTTAATGCATTTATATTAAGAGATTTCTGGAGAAGAAAACAGAATGTTTGGAGAAAAGGTGGGAATAAGCCACAAAATTCCTCTGAGAATAATAAAATTCACATCCTAAAGTTTCATTGCCTTGAGCATAAGAATCTTAAAAAATGTAAGAGTTCCAAAATATGTTGCTGCATTTATTTCAAACACATTCATAAAAACTACGTACTTTTAAATGAGAACATTTGAAGCCTTTTGCTAAGAATCAGGTATCCAAAAAATATCAACAAAGGGTTTCACAATACAGAACTTCTCATAAGGAAACAGAAGAGTCTATATATATTTCAAGTTCCTTTCTGGCGGCCGTAAGAAAACCAGGAGAGACAAACTGGGCAGCGTGGCACTCCGTCCATTTAGCACCAAAGCAACACAGGCTGTCAGAGAGTGGCTACAGGCCCACCAGCCACCAACAGCTGCTCTACTAAAGCTGAAAAGTTTTCAGCAGTTGAAAAAGGAGGTACAAAAGGAGGTGAATGGCAACATATGTTCATAATTGTTTTAATCAACATTTCCCTACAGAATATCGAGGCAACTGAGGATTAGTTGCTGAAACTCCTATCTTATTTATCTGCATATAAGATACCTATCATGGGGCCTTCCCTGTCTTTGGGTGGGTGGGCAACTCCCTGCAACACACCTCCTTCTATTGACCCTTCTGGACACTATCCCTCTCTACCTATATTGAAGAAATCATTTCAAAAAAATCATTTTAACATCTGTTGTTAATTTGGGACTCTGAAGGTCAGAGATTCCTAGCAAGGCAGAAATTCTCCAGGGCTCTGAAACCGACCTCCTGGGTTCAAACCTGAATTTCATTACTTATGGACTGGATGACCTGGGCTAATCACTTCACATTTTTCATGCCTCGGTTTCCCACCTGCAAACTGGGGATAATAGTTTTCACTTCTTGGGCCTGTTAAGATTAAATGAGAGAGGCATAAAGCATTTAGATCTGTGCCCAACACAGAGTAAGCTTTCGATCAATGTGAAATATTATAATAGAGGTAATAACATGACACTTCACATTCAAGTTATTTTGCTTACAGAGCCTCTCTAAAGTTTTACAAGTCTGTGGGGTAGATGCTTACCACAGCTAACTTCCATTCCCATATAGATTTTAAAAACCCAGGCTCAGAAGTAATGGAGAAGGGGTTGCAGGGTGACCGACTGCGTAGGGAGGTGGGATAAGGAGGAGATGGAGAGGAAGGGAGAGGGTGAGATGGCAGAGACAGGGTAGGGGATAGGCGAGGATCAAATTCAAACCTCAGCTTACAGCGCATCCCTCGCTCCAGGCCCTCCTTATCTAGCCTGTGACCCACCAAGATCTCCCTTCTTTCCCAGGAACTGCAGTCATCGTAGGATCCCTGCTCCTAAATCACACCCTCCATCCTTGGCACCCGCCAGGTAGAAGCCCACGCCCCCTCCTACCTTATTCCCGGACCGCGCCATGTTGCCGCCCCAACAGGAGCCTCGGGTGCCTCTTCCGGGTGGGAAACTGCAACGCCGCAACTCAGTTCCAGCGGACTCGTACCCGCCGAGTCCTAGGAAGAGCCGCTTCCCGCGGAGCCTGCGGGGGGCGGGGAAACCCCGCGCGGACGCCCTGAGCATGCGCAGATTTCCCGCGCGCCTCCCTGGAGCGGAAACGCTTGTGATTTTTGAGTTGCCCAAGTCTCTACCACTACATAAATACAAATCACCTATCCGAAGCCTTCACTTCCCTCTCCTGTCACTGAGAATCACACCTACAGCGTTTTTGTGTCAGAGCCCTCGCTTTAGATTTTCTTAAGTAAGCGTATGAATTCAGAAAGTCACCTTTATAGAAGCTTGTTTTTTTTTTTTCTAGAAGGGGGGTATAATGAAAGACTTCACAGATGCGATGACTTTGGAACCAATTCCTAAAGGAATAGTCATTTTGCTTGCAATTAAAAGTGAGAAGGAGATTCTTTGGAGAAGAAATGGGATGTGTAGAGGCCTTGAGGCATGAAACAGCACCTGCTAAGGATCCCAGTAGTTAGAGAGTGTTGGCAGCTTGGAAGGGAGAAGAAGGGGAGATGTATGTTCTAGAACTGGCAGCTGTCAATTACAGTGCCCCTTTAAAGGGGAACCGTCCAGCCTGCAGCCCCTGTCCCCTTTGAGGGAGACTTGTTCAGGCTGAACCTTGCACAGAAACAGCTACTTTTCTACACCAAATGACCCACATGCTAAGGGATGGACAAAGGGTCCAGCAACCAACAAAGTATCTGCAAACCTCTGCCCAGACTGGAAAATCAAATCCAACCAGATTCTCTCCCCCTTGAAGACTGACTGGACCCGGAAAAGCAGACACTAAAGCTGGAAAGATGTTCCTAAGAGAACTGGTTATAAATGCACTGAAGGCAAGAGAGTCAGGCATTTTCAGACCAGGCTCTTGGAGCCCAGGAACTTCTTTAAGCTTTTGAGTCAAACTCAAGGAGTTCTTGGAAAACTCAAACATTATTTTAAAAACTTTTTATATGACACAGTATAGGACTGCTGAAGATGCACCATGGTGAAGAAATTTACATCATTTTTGTCCATAATTTTATCTTCCATGTAGCCTCTTCTTTATTGCCTTTTTCCTCCTCTTTCTTTTTCACCCCTCTCTCACACCCACACACCCTCCAATACAGTTTTGTTTCCTGGAAGAAATGAAAGAGATTCTAGTACCCGTGTTTGTTTGCACCTTGGGCATCCTTAGGGGAGTCTTTCGAAACACCCACTCACCTACTTCCAGGCAGCTAGGCAGTCGTGATGCGGAGAATGGAAATCAACTTTCAAGCACTGCTTCCTCTGGCACAAGGCCTTCACTAGTCAAGGGTGAAGAGGCCAATATTGTTAGTGTGACACTATGTATGGCTATTCCCTTCTTTCTCAGAGCCATAGCAAAAGCATTCTGGCTCTGTCCATTCCATTTCTCCCTGTCAGTTCAGGATCCGTTTGGATTTGTGCAATATGCAGTTGGGTGGAAAGAGGACAAGCGGTTAATGGGCTATGGCTGGTAGAGGAAAAAGGGCACTTTTGGATAGAGATCCGTGGGAGCCATAGTCGCATATGACTAAAATGGATGGGATGAAGAAAAGAGAATGGCATCGTTGTTTAAGTGCCCCCCATAAGCCATGCCTCCCAATCTGGTTTAATTTTCTTTCTACTAGTCTAGGCTTTTACGGACCCTATTAGATAGAGCCCCTTTGAAATGACTTTCTTTCACAAGCCACTAGGTGGCGATCCCAGCTAAAGTGAGGGCCATGTCAATTCATCCAGGTGTTCCGTGGGCCTCATCCTCTTCTCACCCACTTCCATTAAAATAGGTCCTCTTTTGTCCTAATTATAACTATTCTGGGCCTTGGCCATTGACTTCCCTACCCACCCACCCCCCAAAAAATGTGACAAAGTGTTTGCAACTTCCAAAGGTAAGCTTAAGTAAAAATGCAACCATGGAAACAGTGCACCTAAACAGAATTTCCATAAATTAGTGGTACATGGAAAAAAAGACATATTCAGATTAAGAGCATTATACATGCATAGGACAGCCACCGTAGTCACCGTAGTCAGCCACACCTTCACCCTTTTTCTGCAAACTGTAGCATTCAAAGTACAACAGTTTGAGGGAAACTCAAAGACACAGTGAGCACATGTTAATTAGATTTTATTTTTGCTTTCACTTCAATTGTTTACAACTCTGCAAAAAGCACCAAAGAGCACCAAGGTTATCTTCAAGAATTCTGGACAGAATGTTGATTTTGTCAAACTAAAAGTAGTTAATTAAAGAGGGGTGGGGTGTTTTCTGAAGATGGATTTCAGCACCATGCATTAGGCAAAGAGCCCTGGGCTTTTGTGGGAATGCATGCCCGACTAGTCTGGTCTGATTTGCAGTTCTTTCAACAGCTTCTTGCTGAGATATCAATAAGAAATGAGTACCAACTATTCTTGTAAGGCTCCAAAGCTCCAAAACTTGCTGACCTGTGATAATTCAACTTGCTCTTCCTATTTAGGGTTACTGAACCCTGTTGGGGATGGGCAGGGGGGTACGTGACAGATGCAAGCCTCCCGTGAAAGTCTTTAATCTGTAAATAAAATATCACAGTCCCACCTTCACTACCAGAGAAAACAGGTATGCTACTATTATATAATCATACTCAACTGTTTAGTCTTTCCTTCTAAAAGACCCTGAAACTACGTGACATTACATTTTATTGCCAAGTACATGAGTTACTAACATTTCTGTATAGCATATACATAGTATATATAGCTAGTACCTATATATAAAATCTATGTAAGATTTAGACCTAAATAAATAAATAAATAAAGCTATATTAGCAGTTTGGAATCTGAATGTATTTAAATAATTACTGGGATTCTTCCCTGCCTGCCAAAATAGCTATTCTTCTTTTTCCCCTTCCTCTTAAATTAACATAACCACAATATTTAACCTAGCATGTAACTGCTCCAGAAACATTTTGCAGCCTCTTTTGCTTGTGAGGTCATGTGACTAAGGTGTGGCCAATGTGATACAAGAAGTGTTGTGTGAGACTTCTGCGAAGTGTCCTTGACTACAGAGAATGTGCTTCTTTGCCCCTCCCTCTGTTCTGCCAGAAACAGTGAGCTGGCAGCATATGTAATTAGCATGCGGGTGTTGAAGAAAGGGGTGATGGGGGTCACATCTCACCAATGGTAGGGAAATAAAAGAAGCCTGGGTTCCCGTGACTCAGGGAACGTCAGGGGACGGTCTGCCTCCAGACTTCTACACAAGAAACTTCTCTCTTGTTTAAACCACTGATGTTTGGGGATATCAATTATAAGCAGCTAAATAACTCTAAGTGATACACGCAAATCTCTACTTTCTGATACACTGTGGTATGCCTGCTTTCTGAATGTTTCACTGCATTGTTATCTAGTATTTTATTGGTCCCCCCAGAGCCTCCTTATTCTCCCTGTCACATGCTACCCTGGACTCCTGGCACCAGTAACACCTTCAAGCTCCTGAAATGATACACAGCCCAGCTCTCTGTCCCAGATAAATGGCTGTTTTAGCACAGGGAGTGAAGAAGAGTTTGTCCATTGTATGAGCAACTTTCACATAAGTTGCTTTTCTGTTCCCTGCCCTCTTAGAACCATCAAAATGGTACAGCAGATCACTGTGGGCTGGAATTTTCCGGAACTGAGAGAAGGGGGTGGGAATAATTTAAAGAAAGAATCTTTTGCAATTGGAAGATGATATACAGACTACTGGGACCAGAGGAAGAAGTAAGCTGTTGGGAGTTTAGACAGTGGAAGTTTCTACGTCCTGTGTGGGGTCCTTGGTGGAGAGATTGCCTGAAATATTGTCATATTCAAGCAACTCCACAATGCTGTAAGGAGAACACTCCTCCAGACCCAGCTTGCTGCAAAGCCAGCCACAGAAGCCTTTCTCCATGTCCCGGGCAGCTTGCCACCAGGCTCCCCAGGACCATGAGAGCTGAACCACAGCAGCATAGAGGCCCAGCGAGGAGGCCATGGCCATGATGAGCACTGGATAGAAGAGAATGAGGCAGGGGCAACACGAGATCTTGTGCCAGAAGGTCCTCTCCTCATTGTACACAAGGAAGATGTTGTACCAAGTGATAGTGCCATAGTAGAAAGAGACCACGAAAGAGAGAATAAAAACCACAGGCAGGCAGACCAGCGTCCAGAGGACCACGTGGGGCCCACGGTCTGCTGCCACCGGGCAGATCTTTCTGCCGTCAGGCGTTGCTTCCTTCAACGACTCTTTAGGCTTGGTCAGTTCCTGCAGCTCCTTCTCAGTCAATGTGACATGGATGTCCACCATCTGCCCCTTCTTCTTCCCTCGTGTGATGGTCCCCGTTAATGTGACATAGCGGCTGTCCAAAGGCATGTTCCACATACCTGAAGGGCATGGAAGAGGTAAAGTCAAGATCAGAAGAATGGGCATTTCATCAGTGTTGTCCTTGAGGCTGGAGCTGATGACACAGCGTCCACTCATAGCATGTGGCATGGTACTGGAGTCAGTGATTCAGTGATGGACTGAATGGGTCCCTCAGAAGGGTGACCTCTGGTAGGATTATTCCCACAGGGAACTCTCATCCGCACTGATAAAATTGTGAAGCAGGTTCAACTTGTTTTTTTGTGCGTGTTCTCTCTCTACTTTTCTGGACCTCAATTTTGCCACAATCTCTGTGATATGGGGGAATGGGAGGAACTTCTTTACTACAGACACCATTTGATAGTGATCTGGTTTCTAGGTTACAAGTACTGTGAAATTTGCTTGTGAATACCCCCTACTATGTATGAAGATTGTGCTCTGCGTGTGTTATGCTGATGGGTAGCCTGGCCCCCTTCCCTTCTCTGTGCTGCCCTGGGAGGAGACCTCCTCACAAGCCTGTGGACATCCCAGTCCTCATGTCCAAGCTGTGTACACACACACACACACACAACACTGCTACCACCACCACCACCACCATGACCACCAAACCACCAAACAGCCATCCTTTGGCTACCCTGGAAGTGAGGTGAGAGACACTGAAACAAGGAATTCCGTGTTCCTTGGTACCAGTATGTGAAATGTAGTCTACACGTGATGGAGGCAGGGAGAGCACAGGCTTTAGGTTGTCCCCTGGGTCCTTGCCCCATGGCTGGAAAGGGAATAGAACAGAGCCCTCTAAACAGCAGGGCCCAGGATGGTGGTGGGGAGTCCCACTGCCCAGATAAAAGGGTTGTACTCTTCCCCAGGAACCTAATGGTTTCAGTCTTCCTCATCTCAGTAAATAACACCGGCATCTGTCCTCTCTGTTGTTCCTGTCCAAACGTCAGGAGTCACGGTTTACTCCTCCCTTTTCTCACTCCCTGTCTCCAACCCATCACTGAGCTCCTGACTGCACTGTGAATCCAGCCTCTTCTCTAGCTATCTCTCCTGCTGTCACCCTCATCCTAGTGCTCTTGTGGCAGCAGGAGACAAGTCTCTCATCAGCTTCAATTCTTACTCCTTGTAACCCATTCTTTACAGAGAAGTCAGAGTGCTTTTTAAAAAAATATAAATGCCACAACACCTCTCCTTAGCCTAATTAAAAGTCCTCCATCGATGTCCCCTTGCACTTACAAAAAATCCCAAACTCTTTACTATGACTGCCATGGTTCAACATGACCTTACCATGCCTAACTTTCTGACCTCTCCCCATCCCTTGTCCTCTACACTCCCTAACAGAAATAACTCCATGCCAGAAACAGGCAGTGGTGTTTCTACCTTAGGTTCCTTGCCTTCGCTGCTCTCCCCGCTCTAAAAGCTCTGCCCAAGGTCTTTCCATGGACCGCTCCTTCATGCCGTTCAGATCACTCTAACATCACAGCCTCAGAGAAGCCTTGCGTGACCATGCAATCTCCCCCCACCCTCCACAAGTTACTCATCTTCCCATCACCATGGCTTATGGTCTTGGGAATTCGAACCACTACCCGAAACTATCTTTTATTTGCTGATTTGCTCACTGTCTGCCTTCCCCTTGGCGCAAGGTCAACTGCATGAGATCATGCAGAAATGTTGCTTATTCACTGTGCGCATATGCCTCTTAGGAGAGCAATCCATCTCCGCAAATAGATCTCCCTCATCCATTTATTGCTGCACGGTGATGCTCAATACAGACACTCCACAATTCACTAGCAGCAACAGACATTCTTATACACACCTCCTTATGCAGAAGGGCATTGATTGCCTGGGATAGATACTGAGAATTTTCAGGACATAGGCGATGCATATTTTGAATCTTGAACTTAGTAAAAATTGACCATTTTCCCTACGAAGTGGTTAAAGCAGATTCCACTTCCATGTGAGGTGTATGAGCATATGTTCACTTCCTCATGTTGCTGTTACCATATTTTACCCAATTTTTGGCCATCATATATGTGAGGGAACACTATGACTCACTGTTATAATAATTTGCATTTTCCTGATTATTATAAAAGTCAACTACTATTGTTTCTTCACCTTACATGTATTAAGCAATTAGCACAGTATGCTTGTATTACTAATTTTTGTGCACAAATCGGTCTCTTTCATTATATTAGGAGTTCTGAAAGGGCAGAGAGCTCCTCCACATGACCTAGAAGAGAACATAATAAATGCTCAATAAATACTGTTAATTCATTGAATGAAGACTGCAACAGTGTGAGAAGAAATATATCAACAAACAGAAATAGGTCAGTGATCAAATAGGTCCGTGATCAAATGCCTTTTTGTCTTCTGGAGGAGCCTCATTTGGTTTCCTTCCCATGGCTTTTAGCAAGTGGCCCCAGAGAGACACTTACCATCATCAGCAGGGTAGTCAAGGAAGTCCTCTCCTTCCTCCTCTTTAGGCTGGTCTCCACCTTCTGATTCCCCAGGTTCCTTGTCCATTTTCTCATTGTCTGACCGGTAGATGATGATGGATTCTGGGCGGAACTCCTTCTTCTTCTTCTTCCTGCTACCCATCGTGGATTCCCCATCCAGGGCCAGGGCAGCAGCCACAGCCTTCCTCAGAGAGCCCTGGTGGGGACTTGGGAGCCGGCCCTGGCTTCCCACTGATGCCGACTCTTCCATCCTAGTCCTCACGTCTAGTTGTACCTTGTGAAGAGCCCAGTTTGCTTGGCCAAATTTACAATCCACACATCACAGAGCTTCTTCCTGAATGAGGTTATGCAAAGATGTCCCAACAATGAGTTCAACTTAAAAGACAGGAAAACAATGCCATGAAGAAGAAGGGAATGGGGTGAGTTGGAAACGAGCTTGGGAAATGATCCTCAACGGGAGTCTTCGCCTCCCTTTACTTCTCATAACACTTCATTGCTGCATTTTGAGTGCTGCAGAAATACTTTTATAAGCATGGATTGTTGTGAATAAAATTTTATGTGTTGTAGTATGTTGGTCATTTACACAAACATGTAATATTAGGTAAACCCCATCAATGTAGCCAAGTATAAGAAAACTGGGTGAGGAAGCCTTACAGACAAATGGAGGTTAAGAACCACTCTTACTCTCACTCTTACTCCAGGATCCTGGCTACTAAGTCACACATCGCAACTATACCCAAACGAATGAATGCAACTTTCAGTGAGGCGCCCAAACATGGCAGAACTTTGCCACCCACGTATCCCCTGGTATTCTATAAAGGACAACTGTTTGCTGCGTTCTTGTTGGCCCCAAATCCCAGAAGATTCCTGAGACACATCCTATCACATGCGGGAAAACCAGTGGAGAGGATGCACACTTTTCACTTTTAGCATTCCTTCTTTTCTTTTTGGTTACCAGGTAAAGAGAGGGGTGTTATAATATTTTAGGAATCAGGAACTCTCTTATGCTTCCTCATCTCCAGTGGGAAGTCCCAGGGCTCACCATAGATTAGATACTTAGTGTCTACTTGTTGACCTGATACGACAGAGGGGAAGGGAAAATGCCTATGTAAAAATAAGATGTGAACAACTGTAAAGAGAGGAGGGCTTCATTACCCCCACCCCCAATTTTGGATACTTCATCATGCTGTTAGTATTTTATCTGGGAAATAGGTTCTGAACATTTCCCCTTCCTTTTAGATTCCATAAGACAAAGGGTAAAAAGAATCTCCCCATTTCCAAGACTTTAATCTTCAGAATTAAGAGAAGAGAAAGGGCTTCACTCTTCTTTGGAAGTTAGGCTTCACCCATCCTCCCTCTGTACCCTCAGCCCAAAGACGGCCAATGAACGAGAAGTGCAGTCAACCTCAATAAATCATTAGCTTGGGATTCTCAGTCATCCTGTAGGGGAAAATAGGTTTTAAAGAACGTACTCATGTTCTAAATCTCATGCTTAATATAACTGCTTTTAAGCCATTCTTGAAGACAACTTTCCATAATCATAAATTCATCCACCACTTTTTCCATCCGCATTGTCACTTTGGTCTAATGGCCATCATTTCTTACCTATGGTTCTTAAAAAAATGCTCCTTATCTTCTGGCTTCTACTCCTGCTGCCTTCCAACCAATTCTCCACTCACTCTTTAGAAAGATCTTTTGAAAACATCAATAAAATCATGCCATTTTCTGCTTAAAACCCTCGAGAGACATCCCGCTGTTGTGAAACTAAATCCACAAGGATTTGACCACTTTTCTCATATGTATTTCCAATGCTCAGTCACGCTGGCTGCTTATGTATTCCTCAAGAGCACCAAAAGCTTTCCGTTCTGAAGTCTTCTTAAATGCTGCCTGGGTTGGCTGGTATGCTGCTCCATCCCTGCCCCTGCACATGGCCATTGCCTTTGTATTCCCTAAGTCTCAGTTCAAAAGTCACCTCCTCCAAGATTTTCCTGATACCAGACTTAAAACAGGTTCCCTGCTCTGCCCTTCCTTATGCCTTGTCCTAACAGCCTATTTCCTGTGTAAGATTTATCAACAGTTGCAATTCAGTTTTACTTGTGATTTTACTTGTTTGTTGTCCATCTCCTTTCCTGGACTATAGGCTCTACAAAGTGGTGCCATACTAGTAGGTTCCCAAAATTATTTTAAGTGAGCGCATTAATGATTTGAGGCGGGGAGTGACATGGTAGCAATTAAGGATTAGCCTGATTTTGTCAAAGACTGAGACTGAAGAAAAGTTTAATAAAGAGACACTAATAAGCTCCTTTATAATTAATGAGCTCAGTTGTGACACAGTTGTTAAGTGCTACACCTACAGCTATTTTCTTCTTTATAATGGAGGGTTTTCGCTGGTCACATGGCTTATGTGGTAAAGATAACATTTCCCAGCATCCCTTGCAGATACGTGTGATCCAGACTAGTCCTTGGCCAATGGGATATGAGTAAAAGCGATGTGTGCAACTTCCACATCTGCACCTCTCCTTCCTCTTTTCACCTTCTTCAGGGCTGGAATGTGACCTTGATGAACCATCTTGAGCCATGCAGACAAGGAAAAACCCGTAGAGATGGCAGAGGAATGAGAAAGAAGGAATCACAGCCATCCTAATAGCCATAAACCCTCTTCCTTTGGCGGTAATAGCAGAAAAAAAATACCTATCTATTTTGTTTCAAGCCAGGGTTATTTTGGTCTCTTAAGGCAGCCATACAGAAGTGTTTCCCAACACACTGGGATTGTCTGAGGTTATTTTATATCCCAGCCTCTCTGCTGTGTTCCGATTCATCAGCCCTGAGGCATAAGAGGTTGTGATATGCATTCCTGAGTCAGGGCATAAAATAGCAACATCCCTGATACCAGGTGGTTCAAGCAGTTTTGGTTCTCCTGGGTGGGCCAGGAATTCTGAAGCTCAGCTGTCCGGTACAAAGGGTACCACACTGACGCTGGCTCAAGCCTCACCAGAATCCACTGGAGAGCTCAATACACTATATGATACTATTATGGATTGAATATTTGTGTCATTTCAAAATTCATATGTTGAAATCTTAACTCCCAATGTGATGGTATTAGGAAGTAGGGTCTTCGGGAGGTGATTAGGTTAGGAGAGTGCAGCACTCATGCATGAGAGCAGTAGTGCCCTTATTAAAGAGACTCCTGAGAGCTTTCTTGCTCTCTCTGCCACGTGAGGTCACAGCAAGAAGCCGGTAGCCTATGAACCAGGATGGTATCTATTAATCAGGCTCTCACCAGACACTAGATCTGCCATCAACCTGATCTTGGACCTCTTAGCCTTCAGATTATGAGAAAAAAAATGTGGTCATATAAGCAACTCAGTACAAGGTATTTTTGTTGTAGCAGCCTGAACAGACCGAGGCAGAGACTTTTCTCTGCTTGTAATGAGATGGCCAACAGTGTACCAAAAGGGGAATCAGAACAGCACAAATGAACACACCTTCCCAGCTAGAGTGCTGAAAGGTTAAAGGGACTTTGAGAATTCTCCCTGTTTATGCCTGAGCTGCGTCCTTCATTGAAAAAATAAAATATGCCCTGGCTGGCGTAGCTCAGCGGATTGAGCTCAGGCTGCGAACCAAAGTATCGCAGGTTCGATTCCCAGTCAGGGCACATGCCTGGGTTGCGGTCCATGTGAGAGGCAACCACACATTAATGTTTCTCTCTCTCTCTCCCTCCCTTCCCCTCTCTAAAAATAAATAAATCTTAAAAAAAAAAAAGAAAAAAGAAAATATAGTGCTGTCTCCTAGGGAGAACTGGCCCTTCTCCCCAGGGGGCATCTTTGGATCTTTAGCTATTCCCTCTGGGAGAACTGGCCCTTCTCCCAGAGAGAACAGTTAGTTAGTCAAAATCACACACAGCCCTTGGCACATAGCCATGTTTGTCTAAAACATATTTAAGCATAGCCCCTAAAGCGAGACTTTGGAATCCCACCTGAGGGAAGGACACTTCACTCGGAACTGTTCCCAGATGCACCCTGACCGTTGCTGCCTCTTGGGATTCCCCAGCATCTGTGTTCGGGTGTGAGTGATTTCCTGTCTGGTGATATATGCTCTTGATTCTTGCTTTTCTTTCTGCTCTCACTGAATAAAGTGCTTAACTATTCCCCTTTGGGTCTTTATTGCCTGCGAATCCAAACCTCCAAATTACACGTGGCCACGATTTCCTATGTGCCCCTTAATGGCACAAGTGCCATTGTTACACTAAGTCATCAGCAGAAACCCTGGTTACTACTCCCCTCGCTGGCCAGTTGTTATTCACTCACTCTGTCACTAACCCCCACCAGCCAGTTACTCAGCTCCACCCTTGCCTCCACAGTGGTGGTTTACTGCTGATTCACAGACTTCTCACCCTCTGGCATGATTTCTCTGGAGTTGGCTCACAGTTCTGTGCTCCCAGGTAGTCACTGGAGCATATCTAATCCAGTGCCTTCTCCAAACCCATGTAGATACACTCAGCAGAACTGCGAACTTAGTGGGCGGAGAAACCAGGAAGCTTTGAAGCCTCTGCCCTTATACTCACTGCAGGGACACGAGTAACATACATGAAGCATGGCTGAAAAAATGCTACAAAGTGTCAGTGACACCAAGCCTTAACATCTGCACACAGTAAGGAATGGTGGGGACTATGGTAAACAGGAGCTCAGGTCTCATCTTAAGTAGAAAGTTACTGTTTCCCTCTCTTCCACCACCAATGCCCAGTGTTCAGCCAGCTGCTCTCGCAGAGGAACGCCGGTCCATTTGGTATGGGATTTCTGAAATGTCATATGAAAATTCCTGGTTTTAATGGTTGCGATTAGCGCAAGTTTAAATAAATTACCAAGTGGACAACCAACCCCAACAAAACACAAACGGGCTGCCATTTTGCCACCTCTTCCTTATAGAGCTTTCACATCAGGGTGGCCTGCTACAACGATTTAAGACAAATCAGGATTTGACTTTTTGCACTTTGACCCATACGAGCACATCTCCCGCTTCCAAGGAACCTGAACTGGGGCTGGGAGGGTGGAGTGCCATCACTTTCAGGTTAACTTCCCACTACGGTGAACCCTGTCTTGTTCCAGCCTGCCATTCTTCCAGTTCCTCTGATTGGGTATGTGTTGCCCACAGGGCCACCTATTACCTGTCTTGGGTGGCCAGATTCTCCCAATAGCACCTTGATTTACCATCATTAGATACACTAGGCCAACTAGGAAATACAATGCTTACCATTTTACCATTGAAAATTAGCATTAACCTCTCTCAGAAAGACAGTCTTGCCAATGGAAAAATGAAGGGAACTGGGCTTAGACGAGCGTCCAATGGCTGGAACGATGATGGAACAGCAACTTAAAAACTCCCAGCCTCCAGCCAGTTGCTCTGACTTGGCTGTGAGCACAGCCAGGCTGCCTGCAACCTGTTATTTTGTGGTCCTGTGACATCTTCTTGTCGTTGTCTAATTACTTGGTTCTAACAGGCTCTTACACTGAGACAGGTTCATCATCTAGAAAGGACCTGACCATCTCTATAGAGGAAATAGTTCCTGGCCACAAAGATAGTTGGTTACAAGGCGCTTGAGCATCTCCTTATTATAAGATCTGATCTTCGCTATCTGATCTTTTTGCTTATTGTCTTACCTCTCATGGTAGCTTTCCCCCTCCCACGCCTGCCCCCAACATACATACATGCTGGAATGTAAACTCCAAAAGGCAGGGACACCTAAATATCTTGTCCACTGTACTGTATCCCCCATGCCTAGACTAGTACCCGGCACATGGCAGGTACACAGTAAATACTGACTGAATATTGTGAATTGGTTGCGAGTCTCATTTGTGCAGGCTGGGCTCTTATTCAAGGAGGGGTGGGATGAGAAGCCTCATTGACATTTCTTCCACACTGCACAGAGATTCTGTGAGTCTGAATGCTGAGAATCCCACAGGCCCCTATACGTCTGAGCCAGCAGCTGCTTTGCCATGAGAGAACATGAAGTTGCCGGGCAGATGGGGCAGGCGAGGGTGAGAAGATGGGTGAGCAGGGGAATCGCAGAAGATGAAGGGAGTTAGTGGTAGTGGGGGCTGACAGCGTAGGCGTGTGGAAGGATCATGGCCGTGACGACGCGTTTTTCACCAGGACAAAGTGGGCAGTGACTCGGAGTGCAGGAAGGGCAGCGTTTGACTCACTGAGGGAGCAGTCCATGCGGCATGAGGTGGCTGCCCTGGGAAGAGATGGCTCAACCAGAAGCCAGTGAAAATCTGGAAATGAGGAGCCTCCAAGAGGCAGCATGACTGCTGGGCCTCCAGGCCTGAAGGGCTGAGGTCAGAAGCAGAGATGACATGCCTCTGTATTTTGAACAAAAGATCTCTCAAAGAGACCCCAACGCTCTTCATCACAGGCTCTCTCAGGACTGTGACGAATAGCTTTCTGATTGCTCATGCTGCAGCTTCCTGCTGCTGAGCAACCGCTGCTTGTCATCCTCAGCAGTCAGAACTGGCTTGAAGCCAGTCCAGTCACCTTGTCACTGGAGGACTGCAGAGTCCCTGTCTCAGTCCCCTGGGCCAGCACAGGGAGGCTATGCTACAGCCAGGCCCACACGAACCCACCCAGGCAGAGCTCCGTGAATGCACAGGTCCAGCCCCGTCATGAACCACATTTCATTGTGTCTTTATAAAATTATCTTTAAAAGAAACTTAAAGTGTTCCTTCTTCCCAAGAGAAAAAGCATGGAATTCTCTGGAATAAGAAACTCCTCAGAACCTAATCAATATTTCTCTTCCTGTTTTTAAAAAAAATGTGTTATTGGGATTAAAGCACCACAATTATGCTTTTCTGCAACAATACTTTTAACTTTACTATATAAATTTATTTCTTTGTTGTAGCGGTGATGGTGTAATTTAAAAACATCCAGTCATAACTACATAACTGACTTAAGTGTTGATGTAAGTGATATCTAGATCATCTAGCAAATGGAAAAAGGAAGAACTTTCTTCCCTTTAGTAATGAGTGTGGACTAGAACCTGTCAGCAGCAAAGACTGAGGGGCAAGAGTGTCTTAAAGGAGGTCAGAGAAGGGCAGGGAATGGAAGAACAGGAAGAAAGACGTCTGATTCCACTCCCCACCGCTTCCAATTTGCTTTGTGAATAACCAGGTGGCAGGCCCAACCACAGAACAATGGCATTTGTGTGCTTTGACATTATTTTAATGCCCAGAAGGGGTAAATACAGTACTCTGACAACAGACAGAAATAGCATCCTGCCTGGATTGTGAAGACCACAGCACCTGACCCAGTTCCCAGATCTTCACTGTTCTTAGGCAAGGTCTCCCCAGGCCATTCCAGGTGGAATCGCACTCTGGTGGGTTGAGAGGACCATGCAAGATGAACAATAGGAAGGAGAATGTGAATAATAGGGTCACTGTGTTGGGGTGCCCAAACACGGATGAGAACTTTCCCCCATCCGCAGCAGACTTGCTCCCCTGAATAAGGAATAAGACACGAAGTGGGGACTAGGTTCTCTTTCTCTTTCTCTCTCTCTCTCTCTCATACATCTCACACACACACACACACACACACACACACACACACACACACACACTGATGCGTTCTTGCAGGAAGCTTGCAAGGAAACCTCCTCTTTTAGACTCATCCATTTATGCAGCCTGGGTGAAATGGATCAGATCTCGAATCTGGTAAAAGTGGCTTCTTCCCTACATTCCTGAGAGGGAGATGAGGCAGAGAAGGGCTCGAGCTTATTTTTGAAAGCAGTTATCTTGCGTCTGTTGGAGAACTGCAACGGTGCCCTTCTCCCCCACCCCCACGACCCTCCCCAGGGTACCTTCCCGAAGAGGAAAGGATCTGGAAGCGCATTTCTTCCCCTCAGTGGAGCCAGCCCCTTCTCTTCTGCCGCACATAGCATCTGGGGGCAGAGCGTCACCGGACGCCGAAGGGTGCAGCAAGGGTCCCAAGCTGCAGCCTCTCTGTCCCCACATGCCCTGGAGATTTAATTTTAATTAACCGGGAGAGCTATAGCACTGAGGATTGCATTTTTCAAAATAGCGCACACTCCCGCTTTTTGTCTGCTTCCCTTCTGCCACCTAAGGCATCGAAATTATAAGAACAACCCTTTGGCAGCGAATTATAAGAACAAAAACCAACAAACAAAAAAAAACGAACGAGGAGTCTCACCTACACGTGCCGGAGACAGCGACTGGCTGGAGACACCGCCGTCGCGGGGGAGGGGTCTCTCCGAGGATGGGAGGATGCAAAGCTGCCGTGGCCCGCGGGGCTGGGCGGGGCCCCGGTGGTCACGTGGCCGCTTAGGCCTGCCCAGGTCCGAGGTCCCTGTAACTGTAGGATGTTGTCCTGCTCTGAGCGCCTTCGTACCCCGAGTGATCATGAGTCTTCCGGCCAAGCGTACGAGCTGCCTGGCGCCCGGCTTGCTGCAGAATCTAACAGCCATCGTCACCGGCGGGGGCACGGGCATCGGAAAGGCCATCGCGGGCGAGTTGCTGCAGCTGGGTGCGTGAACAGGCCTTGGGCGGGTGGTCCCGGAGTGTGTGTCGGGGCTGGTGGAGGAGGGGGCGGGAGTTGCGGTGGAGACACCTGCCTGTGTAAACTGGGGTTGGGAGCCAGCCAGCCAGCCTTAGGCAGGGGAGGGAAAGTGTGGACTTGCAAAGCAAAGAGGGGTAGACGTGGGCGAAACATGAAAAGATAAAATCGGCATTGATTAAAAAAAAAGTAAGGAAATTTTAAAAGGACGAGAAGAAACACGTTTACAATATACAACAGGCGTGTGATATGAAGAGCTCTCACAAATAAGGAAGGAAAATACTGAACACGCTGATAGAAAAATTGGCCTATGATATGGAACAGGTGTACCAAAGGAAGAACTAGAAATAGGCAGTAAGTAAATGAGAAAACAATCAACTTTATTGGTAATGAAATGCAAAATAAAACAATAATAAGATCCCATTTTTTTCTAAAAAGATTTTAAAACATTGAAGAAGACGACAGTGTTGATGACACAGTGAAAAGGATGGCAAGAATGCAAATTATTACAAGCTTCCTAGAGGACAATTTGAAAAACAGAATCCTAAAGTTTTAACAATATTCATGCTCCCTTCCATGACCTAGGAAATTCTCTCTCAGGAATTTAAGGAAATAATCGGAGACAAGCACAGATTTATATACAAGGATATGTATATGCAGTGTCTCGAGTAGGGAAACATTGGAAATAACCTACATATTCATGATATGGGAAATAGTTAAATCAATAACAATGGGATATTATGTTGCTATTGAAGACTTTTTGTAGAGAAATGCATCCCTTAAAATTGAAAAAAGCAGGACTCTAAACAAAATACAGCTTTCCAGTTTGTTTGTTAATGAAAAATACAGTGTATATGCAGAAAAATACTGAAAGGAAGTTTATAGCATTATTAACAACAGCAAGCTTTTATGGAAATAATCTGAATTATGGGGGTTAAACTGTCTTCATTTTGAACATTGTTTATGAACACGTAAACTGCCTTTGCTTACCATTGTGTTTCTAATGCTTGTCACGTAGTATGAACTGAAACAGGAAACTAAAAAATGAAAATACTCTCAGTGTAAGAAACTTTCAAACCTATGGAGAATGGTTGTGAGTTTATTTGAGCCAAACTGATGGTAATTTGCAGGGAAGCAAAACTTCAGTGAGTTGAGAGAATGCTCTGAAGAATGGCACCTTTGTACCTTATTTTATACATTATAATCAAAGGAGGAGACAGAAGGGGGTTAAATGAAATCCACTGGTGATCGATTAGGGAGGCAGGGAGAAAACAAAGCAGGAAAATCTCTGGGATTAAAGAAATAAAACGGGAGACTCCTATTTCTTTTGCATTGGTGGGTATACATACCATAGTTCACAATGAACATTTACAGTACATAGAGATGGTATGTGGGGGAACAAGATAACAATGAGGGGTTCTGGTGGTCTCTGGTGTGGTGATGAACTCCTTTAGCTCTTTCTTGTCTGGAAAACTTTTTATCTGTCCTTGGATTCTAAATGATAGCTTTGCAGGGTAGAGTAATCTTAGTTGTAGGTCCTGGCTTTTCATCACTTTGAGTATTTCATGCCAGTCCCTTCTAGCCTGCAAAGTTTCTATTGAAAAACAACTGACAGTCTTATGGGAGCTACCTTGTAGGTAACTAATGTTTTTCTCTTGCTGCTTTTAAGATTCTCTCTCTGTCTTTAACCTTTGCCATTTTAATTATGGTGTATCTTGGTGTGTTCCTCTTTGGGTTCATCTTGTTTGGGACTCTGTGCTTCCTGGACTTGTATGTCTACTTTCTTCACCAAGAAAGGGAAGTTTTCTATCATTATTTTTTCAAATAGGTTTTCAATTTCATTTTCTCTCTCTTCTCTTTCCAGCACCCCCATGATGTGAATGTTGGTATGCTTGAAGTTGTCCCTGAGGCTCCTTACATTACCCTTACTGTTTTTTGGATTCTTTTTTCTTCTTGTTGTTCCGATTGAGTGTTTTTTGCTTCCATATATTCCAAATCACTGATTTGATTCTCACTTTCATCCACTCTACTGTTGATTCCCTATAAATTGTTCTTCATTTCAGTTAGTGTATTCTTCATTTCTAACGGGTTCTTTTTTATGGTTTCCATGCCCTTTTTTATGCAGCTGAAATTCTCACTAAGTTCACTGAGCATTCTTATAACCAGTGTTTTGAACTCTACATCTATTACATTGCTTGTCTCCATTTTGTTTATTTCTTTCTGTGGAATTTTGTTCTGTTCTTTCATTTAGGCCATTTTTTTGTCTCTTCATCTTGCTAGCCTCTCTGTTTTTGTTTGTATGGATTAGGTAGAGCTGCTACGACTCCCTGTTTTGGAAGAGTGGCCTGATACAGTAAGTGTCTTGTAGGGTCCAGTGTCACAGCCTTTTTTATCACTTAGGCTGGGTACTTGAGGTTCCGTCCACCATGTGGGCTATGTACACCATCCTCTTGTAATTGAGCCTTGATTGCTGTTGGCAAGTCAATTGGAGGGATTTACCCAGGCTGATCAGTTGCAAGGACTGGCTGTGACCACTGACCACCAACCTCTGATCACTGCACAGGATCAGCTGTGCAGGAGTCCACTCCACAGAGCAGGACTTACCAGCAAGGTTCTGGTGCCCACTGAATCCTCCCCTTGAGAGTGTTGCTTGTGGAGGTGGTTGGGTGGTGGTGCTCCTACATGTTCTGTAGCTGTCCACTAGGTGTGTGGGCTTTGGGAACTCCTGGGAGATGCTGGCCAAGGTCCACCATAACCTGTGCCAGAATACAGGTACTGGGGCCACCTAGCATAAGCTATAAAGCAATCCGCAGTTGTCTGTTACTTGTCCTTGGATTGGAGGTGCCCAGGCAAGTCCTAGCTTGGCACCAAGCTAGGCTGAACCAAGGCCAGCTGCTGCTAGTGCCAGGCCATGGGGCCACTTAGCAGTAGGCAAAAAGCATGCTGTGGTCAGATGTTATTGTTTGGGAGAATTTAAGAAAATCTGAGGCATGAGCCAAGACAAGCCATTTGGAAATAATATGCAAATAATTTTCACAATGACTTTCTAAACTTTAATTTTTTTATGCTAGAATTAATGGCTACTTCCTGAAAATTGTTATAAGCCCTAATTGGGCAAATAAATTGTTAGCCAATTCTGTTTCTAATGAGGAGTCTACTATTTTTTTTATATGAATTACAAGTTGAACTTTTAGGACTTCCCTCAAAGATGGAGGCGTAGGTAGATACACTGCGCTTCTCTGTAACGAAAAGGAGGATAACAACAAATTTAAAAACAAAATATCAGAACTGACAGAAAATCGAACTGTATGGAAGTCTGACAACCAAGCAGTTAAAGAAGAAACATTCATCCAGACCAGTAGGAGGAGCGGAGATGGGCAGCTGGGGTGGAGAGGACTGGCCGCAAGGCAGCAGCTGGCAGAACGGGTGAGGTGGCAGCTGGCAGAGTGGGCAGCCCCATGTTTGTGTGCTGATAAACCAGGAGGAACAACTGGGTAGTGAGACAGGCCGCAAAACCCAGGGTCCCAGCCCGGGGAAATAAATTCTTAAAACCTCTGACTAAAAAAACCTGTGGGAGTTGAGGCAGTGGGAAAAACTCCTAGCATCACAAGAGAGTTCCTAGGACAGGCCCATAAGGTCCTAGAATGTACACAAACCCACCCACCCAGGAACCAGCACCAGAAGGGCCCAATTTGATTGTGGGTAGTGGGGGAAGTAACTGAAAACCGGCAGAAAGTGGAGCAAGCAACACTGTTCCCTCTTGTACACCTTCCCCACATAGAAGTATTTGCCCCACCCTGGTGAATACCTAAGGCTCCCACTCTTATGGCCCAAATGAAAGAACAGATCAAAGTTCCAGAAGAAATACAACTAAGTGAGGAATAGATAGCCAACCTATCAGATGCACAGTTCAAAATACTGGTAATCAGGATGCTCACAGAATTGGTTGAATTTGGTCACAAAATAGAGGGAAAAGTGAAGGCTATGCAAAGTAAAATGAAGGAAAATGTACAGGGAACCAACAAGGACAGAAAGGAAACTGGGACTCAAATCAATGGTTTGAACCAGAAGGAAGAAATGGAAACCCAACCAGAACAAAATGAAGAAACAAGAATTCAAAAAATTGAGGAGAGGCTTAGGAACCTCCAGGACAACTTTAAACATTTCAACATCTGAATTATAGGGGTGCCAGAAGGAGAAGAGGAAGAGCAAGAAATTAAAAAACTTATTTGAACAAGTACTGAAGGAGAACTTCCCCAACCTGCCAAAGGAAATAAACTTTCAGGAAGTCCAGGAAGCTCAGAGAGTCCCAAAGAAGTTGGACCCAAGGAAGCACACACCAAGACACATCATAATTACATTATCCAAGATTAAAGATGATGAGAGAATCCTAAAAGCAGCAAGAGAAAAGGAGAGAGTTGCCTACAAAGGAGTTCCCATTAGATTATCAGCTGATTTTCAAAAGAAATCATGCAGGCAAGAAGGGGCTGGAAAGAAGTATTGCAAGTCATGAAAGACCTGCATCCCAGATCACTCCATCCAGCAAAGCTTTCATTTAGAATGGAAGGGCAGATAAAGTGCTTCTCAGATAAGGTCAAGTTAAAGGATTTCATCATCACCAAGCCCTTATTATGTGAAATGTTAAAGGGACTTATCTAAAAAATAGAAGAAGATCAAAACTATGAACAATAAAATGACAATAAACTCACAACTATCAACAACTGAACCTAAAACAAAAACAAAAACAAACTTAGCAAACAACTAGAAAAGGAATAGAATCACAGAAATGGAGATCACATGGAGGGCTATCAGCAGGGAAGCTGAGGGGAGGGAATGGGGTAAAGGTACAGGGAATAAGAAGCATAAATGGTAGGTAGAAAATAGACAGGAGGAGGTTAAGAATAGTATAGGAAATGTAAAAGCCAAAGAATTTATATGTATAACTCGTGGACATGAACTAAGGAGGGGGA